GTTTTCACCCATCACCGGACCATCCGTGTATATTATGGATTGCGGCTCGACAGAGAGATAATCCATCTGACTTTTGGCTACCACCGAAAGATACACGATAGTGCAAAAAAATAATGAATCAATGAGGACCACCCAAACAGAAACTCGTTTATGGTCTATCAGGTTAAAAAAGCCCCAAGACAACAAAATTTCGGTACTCTTAGGCTTCATTGATAGTGCCATCTGCGTTGCAATTAACGAGCGGATTGTAGAGGGACTGTGGTTTTTGTTAAAAAGTGACAGCGGGATTACCATTGCTGGTCTGCATTTTGTATAGTTTGACATAAAAATGCTATTATGAACACGAATGTCGCGTCGATAAACTGAACAGACCGGAAATAACACCATTTGTGATGCAAATGCGCTTTTTATGAACATCCTAATCGCAGATTATTGGAACTAAATTATTTTCTCTTGTGCAGAAAGGGGTCATCTGAACAAATGGTTGTCGTAACAGTTTGATAGGATACAGTTTGTTATATGCTTGTCTGAATGTTCCATACCACACATCACTGGCTGTAATTTCCTATGGTTGAGAAACAAACAAATCGGTTTTGAGTTCACTAAGGGACCACCAGAATTGGAATCACAATTCGGATATGTTGTTAGGTGTTGTCTTATCACCCGATCAATCAGTTACCCTCTCCACGTGGTAAGGGGAGGTTGACATTTTGAGATTCCTCATGATGTCCGTGCTCCCCTTTCGATCCGATTTCTACAGACACAGCACATAAGTATCCGGCCTGGTTACAGATTCCACATCTTCGAATGTTTCATTACCCCGAGCCGTTTTCTCTCATTCTGCCTAAAAATGCACAAACTGAAATAAAGTCAGTGAGCAGAGTCAAGTAAGTAGTTGAGTGCTGGCTTCGGAAGTACGTTTCTTTGGTCTCATGATAAACATGATAACTCTTACTATCGAGCATAAACGACCATTTCCTTTTCCGATTATCTGCTCAGTTTGGGCTTTAAGTGGTTGAGTTGTGGTCTCATGTTTCCCATATTCCCGTGTCTGTGAGTTAAGTACTAATTGTGACAGACCTACTGATCTTTACTATTGCAAACAACACTTTATCTTACAACACCCAAACAGCGATGTATTTGTAGGTAAATATTGGTCCCGTCGTCCACTGACCGAATTTCTCCACCCTGCTTATTGATATATAGAAAGTTTCGGATATCCTATCTTTCCGGATTCTAATCGACAACCCAAAGTACGGTCTGAAATACAGTTCGTTTTATTTTGAAGTTGATACACTATTTCTGTGGTGCTTCTTTCAACCTCCTCTATCCTGCATTAAAATGGCGGGTTCCTTTTGACCGGAAGCTTGTGTCTTTCCCTTGCCAAAGATACATTGCAGAGAAAAAACAAATTCTGATGACATATTACATCCAGCAATGACAAGTGGAAAGCGGGGAATGAATAGGGTAAAGATCTTCTGACTATCATTTAGAAAAAGAGAAACTCGAAATGTGCACATTGCTTATTAGGCAAACAAATAAAATACTGTAGAGCAACTTACAGCGTTTGTAAATGTGGTAGCTGGGTCAGAATAGAATCGGCTTTGATCTCTCGAATACGGTTATTGCGCAAGTTTCTGTAACGGAACGAAGAAATTAGAATATGAAACATTTCCTAAACCAAAAATCATAACAGATACCCCGGTGAACGATCGCTTTTGGTCGCATCGGTAAAGTCATGTAAACCGCTTGATTACAGGTCTGATTACGAGATGTGAGTTTCGGGACAACGAGGTTGGGGCAGATAGACTGTCATGCATATCATCTAAAAATCCATTCTTATCAGAATGTCTTGAAAATTAGTTTATGTCCATAATCCCTTATATTTGTCTAAATCATTTGGGAGTGATCGGCCTTCCTATGCGATTTACGCCGAAGTTTCATCCTGGCTCACAAACAGGTTCACATTGCTCTACTTTCTACAGCGATATAAAAAAACAGTCGCATCGTCCGGAACATAATTAAGAGTATTTCGTTTTCCTGTTTGTTTCGTATCTATATAAAAACTCAACTAAATCAAAGAAATTGTACGGGGCCCTCTTGGCTTTACGACTGACACTTCGTTTGCTTTGTATTCGACTAACTTCACGAAATGATTATTTATCCGAAAGAGAAACAACCGGATAGGATTTTTGCTTCTCCCTCTTGAATAGGACGTACCGATCAGTTTCCATCACGGTTGAACTCTATATCTATCATCCCGATTAAATCGGTATAGCTTGTACAATAGTGACCTGATGCAAATTCTAAATAGAGATGACTGCAGCCAACCTACTGATGGGATGTAACGAAACCATCCCATCCCACCCATCATTTAATCGAAAGATTACTTGCATCAAATACAGTCAATCTCCTACTATGTCGCACCCAACGGGGATTCGAAAAGATGAGCAAATGTCAGAAACTGCAACAGAGTGTTGGTAAGTAGTGTATACGTTTAATTAGTAAGATAAATCAATTGCGTCGATGAAACTACGTTACTTCCGTTACATGTTCTCACTACCCATTACTACCCGCTGTTTATTGAAATAAGAATCAAAATAGATAGTATCACGTCCTCTTTGTGTATCAAAGAATTGCCTATTTTTAATGAAGCCCTCAGCTTGACATGAGAACGGCGGACTCGGAGTGTATCCCTGTTTCAGTTTCAAGTGAGCATTAGTCCTGAAATTATTTACCTTTCCTTTGGGGAGTTTTACCAACTCAATTACCGAATTTCAATTTTCAATAGTGTCCCATTCAGTTACAATCTAAGGGTGACTACCGAATTGAATATATGGGTCTAAAAAGGTTTTGGCTGTAATGATGTCACAGAATTAGAGCACAATTGACGATTCAGACTAGAGCCTACGTATGTGATTTGATACTCAATTCGCTAGCAAAACCGCAACCAAGAAAAACAACAATGGAAAACAACAGAAACATCTGCTGCTGAGTTTACGTAGTAGATGAATTTCTTTCCCATATTCCAAGCTCCCACTGATCGCTACGTAATTCTTTTCTGGTGAAAATGTATACCCTAGTGTCAGTAAACATCCATTCGTTCGTTTGTTTGTTTTTGTTGTTACCAAAGTATACTGAAACCGATCGATACATTGGTTATGGCCAGCGTTGGTCGGCATTCGTGCCACCGTTATTAGTCGTCACCGCTTATGAAGCTCAACAAGTGATTCACGAAGGGCACTGCTCAATGGCAGTAAGAGACGCTTTGGACCTCGGTTGCAATGGCCTTTGTTCTGTGACCCATTTCGTCAGTGCTCAAGAAAGGACAACTGTAATCATCGTTCAACCATTTACCCAGGCGGGTTAGTGTGACTGCGGTTATCGATCAACTGGCGGCCTAACAACTTACTCCGCACCTCACTTACTAGGTAGGTCAATCGCGATTATCGTTCACATGGTTTACACAACTAAGTTAGTAAGACAGAGCCCATGAACCAGATAAATTTCATTCAAATCAATGAAACTAATCGTACAGCTGGAAAGATAATCGTGGCTTCGGCGACCACAATAACAAAAATGACCACTAATTCTGGTCAAAATCATTCCAGTACCACTAAAGTATTACTGGAGACACCTATGTAAAGTACAAAGCTTTGTTTGTAGCAAAATCAATGATTGTTGGTTGTCTTCACTGCACTCTTGAAATAAATTGTATGCTCCCGTAAATCACCCAAAAGCTAAGCATTAGGCAAAACAAACAACTCGAATGAACCCCGTAAATAATCTGATTGAGATAAAGTTCGATGTATACAATGAATCACATTCATGCTCTTCTTTGCAACGCTTGAGTCTTCGAGGCGATTTTACCCAGAAACTAAGACTGAGATTTGATACATTATTCTGAATAATCCACCTCTTCATGAACAAACTTCTAATATACATACTCATCTTCAACCAGACCCTGTCCAGTGGATACATAATGCGTGAAATCTTGAATCTGGTGTGATGTATCATCTGGTGGCTGCATAACCGGCTGGTTAAATGTGGGTTTCAATCTAACTTTAATCATCAGCAGTGAAAATATCCCGATAGACATATCCATGGATAAACTGAGATAACCTCGCTCAAAATTCGTTTATCTTATCACGTAGTACCGTCAAACTGTGTTAGTTTCTGCTGGTGTTTTCTCCTCTCAGTAAATCGATCAAAGTTGATTGAAGTAGATTCCTCGACAATTGTGACTTATTTCAACAATGATAGATCTGGCAACAGTAGCCATTCGTTCGTAGTGAATGCGGTTTGAATTTACTCCAGATTAATAAAAACATGAACATTTTGCCCTCCGTGGGCGCGTATTTATGTGTATTTCTGTGTGTAACGGGGGAGGGGGGTAGTGTATCAGGACATTTAGTGTCACTGATACTCGATGATGAGGTTGATGGTACAGAAGAAGGAAGACAACCGATCGCTTTATCGTTTAGACCAATCTTGCACTTTTCCCCCGCCCCCCCCTCCACACACACACACACACACACACACACACACACACACACGAATACCTGGAATTCGCTAACCTAGCCAGAAAAAACCAACCTACTGTGATATATAACAATACTGCGAATTTCGGTGACACGTTACTTTTTCGTGGTTGTACTGGCATAGCTGATGATGGAACCGGACAAAAAATGTTTGTTTCCGTTTACCTCATTTCACGTGATTCCATGACACTCAAACAGTCAAACAGGTACATGGGGTGTGAGCGCGTATAAAAAGATACACTGGTTTCACCGGAGCCCGTACTATCATAGCAGATTAGTTCCGCAATGACTATCAGCTACTATAATTCCTACAACAATGGTGACACTTGAAATAAGCACTAAGTCAAAGTGTTCCTGTATTATTCGTGGCAGAATGAGGTGTGTGCGCGGCGGCCGCGGGGAGGGAGGGAGTAAGAAAACGAGAAAGAAAATATGACAGCTGTCTTGTCGTCGGACACCACAGAGTTTCTACTAGTGCGTCCGTCTGTAGTTCCCATGGTTTGGACTTCGACAGTTTCGTATTGCGGTATTGTGTATACTACATAGTGCTGCGCCGCATTATATATTTCCCCAAAATTTACCGTGTGCACTTCGTGTTACTACAGACCCATCTATTGTCCCACAAATCACACTAATTTGAGACCTTGAGAAATCACGTGAGAATTTTGTAATTTTAATAGTGGAATACTTCTACACAGAAACTTTTAGTTCACGCTGCAATCTCAACTTTCTGTGTGTGTGCGGCTACCTAAGGAAGTCCGCAACCTGAATTTTCAAGGGGCTTCTTATTTTAGCTACACGAGTTAAAATCATGTTTCTTGGCGCTCTGCAAAAGTGTGCCGATGCGATTTCCTTTTACCTGATCATGGGTAAATGAAACCGGTTCCTAGTCACAACAGAAAGTACGTTTGCCGGAATGGAAAGTATCAGAAAGCGCAAGACGAACGGTTAGGTTATACACGGCACACGGAATAGACCTATCAATCTACCGGGTTTTCCTTGTCCAATTGTTTCATATTTATGCCATATTACTTTTCATTCTAATTGTATTTACCCTCTACCTATGCTCATTAGGGATTGCTCGGATGACATGGAAGCAGATCCCCTGGCTTATTCGAAACACAATCCCCTTACAGGGAATGGTATGCTGCACAACAGAGAACCAGTGTACTGGGACTGAGAAACGATGCAGCACGGTTNAGAAAATAGGGCAGATGTAAATCTTGAATCTAAACAACATGATTGAGCAGTGAATTGAGATGGGGAATAAAAAGGTGAGGTGAAATTATATTGTTCAATGCAAACAGTGTGCTAATTCTGTCTTTTGTCTCCAAACTAACGGGAAGCACGGTTGGCAATGATTATCGTGGATCGACGGTCTGAAGACCTCATAGAAGGCGTAAACTAATGTTTTTAAGGATCTCCTCACGTCCACACGCAATGCAGGGAATAGATTAATTTAAGGGAAAACTGGAACGTTTTCAGAATGGGAAAAATTGATCTGTCGTATCTAAAAAGTTACAATATTTTACTTCAAGAGGTTCGTTTGTTTAGCACTGGGCATGAAACCCCGTCCACTAGAATCGTATGCAATCAGTTACTGGCTCAGGCGCAGTTTTATGCCAAAACACGAACGTGTTTTACATCCGCGGGTTCAAAAAGTAAGCAGTTAACTCTTTCGCCCACATATACACACACATATACACTTACAAATCTTTTGTGTTTGTGGGTAATTTATCTGGTAAACTGGTCAATCCAACCTCGGAACAATCCACGCTTAGACCGTCCGAGATCAGTCCGAGCTCGTCCAATTGGAACGGAACCTCCGATCTGGCTTGNTTTCTGAGCAGCGACATTTGTCCGGACAGGTCACCTTGGCGATGTCACAATTCTGCTCGTCCGCGGAGGGTGAATTAATCAGATTCTCTGTTGAAAAACAATCATAGGAACATAGTTGTCACATACGGTCAATCTTGCAAACGTTCATTTTATCTCGAAGGTTGTCTGTGGGTGTGTACAGTATGACCTCTAGATTAGGGAGTTTGGTAAGCATGTATTCAATGGATGTGCCAAGTTGTAAGTGATAGATTTTGTTGTTGTGTCAATTAGGGATTCGTAATTAAAAAGTTGAACATTCCAACCGTAACCTTTTCTCAATCTGCAATTAATTATTCTGTTGCGACTCCATAATTGAAAAGGGAAAAACTGTAATCAACCATCGATCATTTGAATTCAGTTCACCTCACGTCCGTTTGGGCTAGGCTATAACTATCAAACGTAGATGGACGAGTTGTTAACACCGGAATTAATGCAACCGTTTCTGTTTTATGCTACTCTGAATAAAAAGTGTTATATTAAATGCTGGAATTCCGTCTAAACAAATCATATGCAGTTTTCGTCAGTTCGACGCAGCTCAGAGTGGTTTAAGATAAATGTAAACCAAATGTGACTCGTTATGCAATGCCCAACGCATCACCACCGAAATGGTTTCGTGGCGTCAAAATGATCACCGACGTTTCCAATGACATGGTGCTAAAAATTCAACCCCAGTTCAGCTCGGTCCAGGTCTGCTTAGCTCTATAGATTTCACTTGATGACATCTGTAATGGTTGAAGAATCTTAGAATTTGTGGTTCGAATGGCAACTAGTTCAATTGACGTTCTTTATCATCTTCAGTTTGACACCACCGGCATACCGTTTGTTTTTAAAGTGCTCAATGACGGTTATATTATACGCTGGTCTTTAAACAACTGAAAAAACAACAACAACTTACACCACCGGGAGATACTACTAATATTATTTATAAGTCGTATGTTTGCTGCGCACACAAGGAAATAATAAACAAGACGTCCAGGAGCAGAGTAATGGCTTCAATGCTTTAGTCGCAGAATATGCAAAAGACCTTTGAAATGCTTGGTCACTGGTCCAGAGTCCAACGTGAAAGAGTGACAGCTCTGTTCCAGATAAGATACTTCTTTATGTGTAACCTTATTTAACCTATACTCATGTCGTTTGTTCAGAACATAATAACTCATCCAGTACTGGACTTGTAGATTTATGGCACTATTATATCACCAACAACGACAGCAGCAACAGCAATATCAACACAATCGAATAGTTTCCATTACCATCTTTGTAACATATTTTCGACAGAAATTCATCAGAAGACAAACTGATGAACCACACGTGGGCAAACAAAGACAAAACCACTTCATTTAACTTTAACTACTCAACTTCCCTGTTTCACATTTATATTTCCATTATGGGCTATAATTGCAGTGATTCATATAAAAACGCTTAAGTGAGTAACGTAGTTCTAACCTGTAAAGTTTGGCTTGCCAGAATGGTTTCGAATGCCGGTATTTACACTGTACTGAATATTTTGGTCTATGGTTGTTTTGTTTCTCCTTGTAGATTTCTCGTATTTCTCTCCCCATGTACTTTCAGCTGTCCACTACCCCTCCTCTTCCGTTTCACTTAGCATGGTCTCCAATCACGTGGCAGGCGAGCCGATGTACATCCTTCGAGGCTGCACGAGCCCGGAATGCTTTTTTATTATGATCTCATTCATAAAGACCTGTAAGGGTTTTAGGTCAAAGAAGTGCTCAGTCCTACATCATTTTTCAGTAAAACATTTGAAAAACACTAAATATACGACATCCAAACAGAATGATGCTCAAACGTTGACGGTGTGCGGTCGGTTATGCTTCGATCACAGGTGTTTGAGAGCAGGTGAAAAGACGCATCAGGACACGGAATTGCCCAACTCCTGTCGCAATGAATTAAACGGAATCCAAAAGAAAATAAGTTGATGAACTGGGGAAATATTTTGCTTTATTCTACAGAACCTCATTGAGTGTTTATGAAGGTAGATCAAACATTAGGATTAGATAGAAGTGAATTCGTGAAGGTTGTGACATTGGAGCCGTGTGGGAAACGGAATTATTTGAGTTGAAATGACAGCCAAACCTCTATTGTAAGCACTAGCTGAAGACAGAATAGCTTTTATCGTTAATGGTGGGTCGGATCATTTGTGTCTGCACTGTGGTCATTGAACTGAGCAAAGAGAATGTCAAGCAATTAAAATGATAAGTGACAATATCGTAATAAACTGTCACCATTGAAAACGTATCTAATTCTGACAGCTTTATCATTCCCGTGAGGAATTGTGTATGGAGTGGTGTACAAATATTTTTCAGCGAACGCGAAAAACCAAAAATAGTGAGAGAGCTGCGGAAACAAAAGTTGGAAATATGAACGATGAATCAGGGAGTGTAATATATCAACCAAGAGTAATACAGTTTTCGTTTGGATTTTACTATACCTATTACATAATTCACTGAACGGAATTGTGGTGTGTGATAGCTGACTCACAAAAGACGAACTACAAGTCTTTCTTTCCTGCAAGACATGAAATCACTACGGAAAAACAATATAGGTGATTGAAAAAACACTGGGTCACAAAGCAGGCTATATCCGTTTGACTGTGGTCCATGTGTCTCGGTCCAAGAGTCTGAAAGGATAAATGACGCTGTTTACAAGTAGTATCTTCGCTATGTTCTGAGCGGAAGAGAAAATTAATCTGTTGCATGATATCAGGGATTTCCGCGATATCAACCCCGGTAGGCATTTTGAGGTGGATTGATGAAACCAAGTTAGGGATGTTGGCCATGGTAGAAAGTGCATTTAGGTCCAGATTCAATAAAATAAGTTGTAGATAAAACAGATTATTTGAGAACTAACGGATTTTGGATAAATGAACTGTGATGTATAGTAGAAGAACTATGTGATCTGCGGGCAGAGGACATGAGGGGTAAGAAGTCGAATGAACGCAGTCAATCGCTGACAGTGTGTACCTTGATCTGTATACACAAAATCAAAGTTTTCAGATTATGGAAGCGACCCAGTCAACTGTTATTATAGGGGATAGTCAGATGTACCAACAAGCAGACTGTTCTTTCTATTATTGATGTTTTAGTGTTTCTTTCTTCCCCTTGCAATCTTTAACAGGAAAGAAAGTAACGGTTTGTAATTACTTTGTGTCGTTAAACTACTCGCGAGGGATTGTGGACCAGTGCGATGCATGCTGAGTTGAAATGATAAAAGATACAATGGATATTTTATTGACTGAAAACATTATTATTACGTGTGGTGTTGCTTACTACAGTAGTGTTCTCGACCAAAACGTCTTTCATTCGAACCTCAATTATGTGGTGCATTAGTAATAAATATTTGCACATTAACCTTTAAACTCCTAGATTCTCTTGAATAATGCCTAAGACCATAAAATATAAGTCGATCGGAATACCACAGTCGTAGCAGTTATACTTTCTTGGAGGGAGGGCATGAATGCTAGAGCGCATGCACATACAAACACACCACCGATTCTCCGCGATTTAACGAATGCCTACCGTTGAATGGGGACGCGCCAGTCCCATTAACCCAGTTATGTGATGCATTTTCCCTCATCGGGAACATTCTTGGAGAAATTATTCATTACCAAGTGGTTGCACTCTCGATATCATTTCACTGTAGTGAATCCACCATATTTGGGCCTATTCAACATACCAGAACGTTTCTCTACACTTGGAAGGGAGCACTGGAATCCCGTTGTATTGTATTTTAAAGTTAACATATATGCACGAGAGTATTAGAGGATTTTATTCAATTACAAAGTGGATTTTGTCATGCAAAGAGAAACTGAAGCGTAACTAGAAAGCTAGGAAGCACTAGACAGCTGTTTCCACCTGGTTGCATCTCAGCAGCAATGTGAATGTATCCATCATATTAGGGATCGAACTCAGGACTTCACAAATAGAACACAAGCGTACTGCACACTTGACCTCAGACAGTTGATCAGACAGCTTTTCATTTTTTCTGTACACAATCAATCTTTCCCCGTTTGTTGCTGGAATCAAAACTGTCCTTTCATCACGAATCTCCAGGGTTATGGCTAAGTTGGAAGCAATCCGACCGAAATACTGATTACATGAGAGTAGTGGGGTATCTGATTTAATTACAGGGTGAATTTCTTTCGT